AGTAGAGATTTTAGTAGAGATGGGGTTTCTCCATGTTGGCCAGGCTGGGCTCAAACTCCTGACTTCCAGTGATGTGCTCGCCTCAGCCTGCCAAGATGTTGTATTACAGGCACGAGTCACCGTATCCGGCAAGGCAAATCTATTATAGTCAGGTATTTCAGTATACTACTCTCAATAACGGCTAAAACAAGCGACAGAAAATCAGGAAGGATACAACAAACTTAAACAATAATATCAACAAAATGGACCTGATTTAGAAAATATTGTACTCAACAGCAGAATTCACGTTCTTCTCAAGTGCACACAAACTCTTCCAGAAAATTGAAGAGAGACTTTTTCCCAATTCAACCATTCTACGAGGATAGCATTACCTTGATAGCAAAACTTGACAAAGACGTTACAAGAAGAGAGGATTTCAGGCCAATATCTTTCTCGAACAGCAATGCAGAAATTCCCAACAAAACCTTAGCGAACTGAAGGACAAGATAATTCATTGCTCTATAAAAACAAAAACAAACAAACAGAAAAAACCCCAGGCATGGCGGCTTATGCCTGTGATCCCAGCATTTTGGGAGGCCGAGGTGGGAGGATCGCTTGAGCCTGGGAGGTTGATACCAGCCTGGGCAACACAGCGAGATTCTGTCTCTATAAAAAACAAAACCAGCCAAACAGAAATATAATTAATTGGGAAAAGAATACTCTTTTTAACAAATGATCTTGGGACAAACAGATATCCACATTCAAAAGAATATACAGCAGTTGGACCCTCCTGACACCGCACAAAAAGATTAACTCCAAGTGGCTTCTAAATGTAAAAGCTAAATATACATATGTATATTTATAAATATATATTTATAACATATTCATTACATATATATTTAGCTTTTACATTTACGAACTATTTGGAGTTAATCTTTTTATATATATAAATATAAATATATATTTTTAGCTTTCATATATATATATATTTTTTTTGAGACAGTCTCACTCTGGAGTGCAGTGGCGTGATCTTGGTTCACTGAAACCTCTTCCTCGTGGGTTCAAGCAATTCTCCCTGCCTCAGCCTCTCAAGTAGCTAGGACTACAGGCACCTGCCACCATGCCCAGCTGGTTTTTGTATCTTTTAGTACGGACAGATTTTTGCCATGTTGGCCAGGCTGGTCTCGAACCTATGACCTCAGGTGATCTGCCTGCCTTAGCCTTCCAAAGTGCTGGGATCACAGGCATAAGCCACCACGCCAGGCCTAAAAATATAAAATTCTTAAGAGAAAGCATAGGAGTCTGGGCTAAACAAAGTCTTCTTGGATATGACATCCAAAGCAACAAAAAGAAAAATAGAGAAATTGGGCTTTATCAAAACTTAAAACTTGTGTGTTTCAAAGAACACCATCAAGAAACTGCCAGACTGCCAACAAAATGGGAAAAAATATTTGCAAATTAGATATCTGATAAAGGACTTGTATCTGGAATATATAAAGAACTCTTAAGACATTTTGATGCAGGGCAGGTGAGCTCCACAGAGGGCTTAGGCTGTGAGGGTTCTTGGCTTTGGCCAGGGAAGGGTTCAAGGCAAGCGGGAGGTATGGGAGGGGCAGGGCTACAGCTCTGTGACTGTTCCTGTGGAGCAGCGCTACCCCGCAGGCAAAGAGCAGCAGCGCAGGGGAGCGTTGCAGTCATATTACACCCATTTCTAACTGGATGCGGATTAAAGGGTGCTTTATGCGGAAATTTCTAGGGAAGGGGCAGTAACTTTTGGGTCATCAGGTCATTGCCACGGAAAGGGGCAGTAACTCCCAGGTGTCGCCAGGGTGATGGTAAACCGGCATGATGCGTTGGTCGGCATGTCTTACGGAAGGCTGCTTCTGCCCTGGCCCCGTTTTATCTAGTCCTCAATTTGGTCCTGCGTCTCAGCCCCACTTCTGGCGTCAAGGGCCACCTCCTACCACCGTTTCTCCAAATAAGATCTACAAATGGCCCAAGGCACACAAAAAGATGCTCAACATCCGGCCTTTAGCGAAATGTAAATCAAAACCACAAGAAGGCTCCACTTCACACCCACAAAGATGGCTGTATCAAAAAGACAGACAGTCCGGGCGCGGTGGCTCAGGCCTGTCATCCCAGCACTTTGGGAGGCCGAAGCGGGTGGATCATGAGGTCAGGAGATCGAGACCATCCTGGCCAACATGGTGAAACCTCGTCTCTACTAAAAATACAAAAACTAGCCGGGTGTTGTGGCGGGCGCCTGTAGTCCCAGCTACCGGGGAGGCTGAGGCGGGAGCATCACTTGAACCCAGGAGGTGGAGGTTGCAGTGAGCCAAGATCACGCACTTCAGCGTGGATGACAGAACGAGACTCTATCTCAAAAAAAAGAAAGAAAAGAAAAAAAAAGACAATAACAGGTACCGAGGAGGGTGTGGGGCCGTCGGAACCCTCATTCATTACTGGGGGTGACGCAGAACCTTACAGCTTTTCATGTTCAGACTGAAGGAAGAAGTAACGGTGTATTTATTTACAGACAACGTGATCCTATATAGAGAAAATCCCAAGGAATCCTCCAAAGCGCTAGAATAAATGAGTGAAGCAGGTCAAAGGAAATGAGGTCAGTATGTAAACATCGACTGCAGTCCAAAAACTTCCAAAACGTAGTTCAGAAAATTCTACTCACGACGGCATAAAAAGAATACACCAAATTTATCAGCGCTTTAATGACTGTATTAATACTTATATTAATAAAATAATTATAATTCAATATCTAATGAATAATACATTATTACGCATTAATAGGTTTCATAAAGAAGGGCAAGACGTGTGCTGACAGTAACAAGACACCGGGGAGAGAAAGTCAGCCTCTAACTCAGCGGGAGACGCGGTGTTTCAGGAACCGGAGGCCTCGGTGTCAGTGAGACGGCCATTCTCTCCAGAGGGGTCCGACGCACCCCCATCAACATCCCAGCAGCCTTCTTTTGCTGTTGTTGCAGAAATTGGCAAGCTGATCTTAAAAATGTACACAGAAATACAAAGGTCCCAGCAGAGTCAAGATAATTTTGAAAAGGAAGAACGAAATTGGGGGACTCTCCAGCTGGAAAACGTGCTAAAAGCAACCAGAGTCCAGATAGTGTGGTCCTGGCGTAGACCGAGGGGACGTCAGGAGAGACGGGCCAGTGGAGCAGAGCTGGGAGTCCAGACAGAAACCCCGGCTCTTAGGGCAAACAAATTTTCATCCAAGGTGCAAGGCAGCTCAATGGCGAAAGGACAGTCTTTTCAACAAATGATGCTGGGACCATTGAACATCCCCATGAAGAAGAGATGAATTTAGAACTTTATCTTTTCCACAAAAATGAAACTGGATCACAGACCTAAATGTAAGAGCTAGAGCTATAAAACCTCTACAGGGCTATGAAAAAATCCTTGTGAAACTTGGGTTAGGCAAATAATTTTTAAATACAGTTTCCAAAACTATGATCCATAAAAGAAAAATAGACAAACTGGACTTCAAAATTAAAAACTTTTGCTGTTCCAAAGACAGCAATAAGCAAATGAAAATATAAGCCATGGGCAGACAGAAAACATTTGCCAAGATGTACCTGCTAGAGGGCTTATATCCAGGGTAGGTAAAGAACTCCGTAACTCAAAAATAAGAAGACAACCTTTTTTCCGTTTCTTTGTTTTTAAGACAGGGTCTCCTCTGTCGCCCAGGCTAGAGTACAAGAGTGCAGTGGGGCAGTCACGGGCTCACTGCAGCCCCAACCTGCTGGGCTGAAGGGCCCCCCCAATTTCAGCCTTCCGGGTAGCTGGGACCGCAGGCATGTGCTACCACGATTGGCTAATTAAAAACAAGTTCGGGTTTTTTAAGAGGTGGGGGTCTCACTATGTTGCCCAGGCTGGTCTTGATCTCCGGGCTCTAGTGATCCTCCCACCTCAGCCTCCCAAAGTGCTGGGATTTTAGGCATGAGCCACTGTGCCTGACAGTCCGATTTTTTTTTAAATGGGTACAATATTTGAATAGACATTTCTCCAAAGAAGATAAACAAATAGCCAACAAGCATGGTGAGAGCCGCCCATCATCATCGGTTGTGAGGGAAACGCGAATCACAACCACGAAGAGCTACCACTTTCCACCCCCAGGGCAGTTACTACAAAAAGACAGAATTCCCAGTGTCGGGAGGACGTGGGGAAACCTGAACCCTCAGCGTGGCGGCGAGACTGTAAAATGCTGCTGCCATTTTGAAAAACAGTTCTGCAGTTTCTTTAAAAGTTCAAACATAAATCTACCATGTGATCTAGCAACTCCATTCGTAGGTACACGCCCATGAGAAATGAAAACACACAAAAGCCTGTATACGAATGTTCACAGCAGCACTGCTCATAACAGTGACCAGCTGCGGATGAGTGGGGGAGCAGACAGTGGCCCCTCAACGGAACGGAAGACCATCCTCCCAGAAAGGAAGGACGTGCCGACAAAGGCACGCGTGCCCCCACACACACGTATGCACGTGCAGACCTGTGCACACATGTGCAAGAAAGACACCCCTAAGCACATACATATGTGGGCACGCACATCACAGTATGTGCACACACACACGACTGCATACACACCCATGCACACATATGCCTGCACACACACCTGCACACCCATGCAAACCCACACCTGCACACACCCATGCACACACACGCGCACACACCCATGCACACACCCATGCTCACAAACACACCCATGTACACACACATGCCTGCACACACACCCCTGCACACACATGCACATACACGCACACATTACACCCACACACACACCCATGCACACACATGCCTGCACACACACCCATAGCTGCCTGACTGGCAGGGGAGCTGGCACGCCTGCAGCCTCTCTGCTAGGCTCTGGGCACAAAGGCTCCGCTCTGCCGCAGGAGGCACATGCAACATGTCACCTGTATCTGCACGGCTTAAGCACCTGACGCATTTCTCTCCTGGAAGTGTCGGACCGTCCTCCTGGAGATGCTTACCCTGGGCAATCTCCCCTTGGTCCTGCAGCAGCTGAATGTGCACCGAGAAGGGACAGCCTTGGACCACTTCCATCACCTCCGGACCCAAGATCACCATCTTCGTGGCTTGTTCTGGGAGAGGACAGAGTAGCTTTACTGGTGCTGAGTCAGCAGTGGGCGCCCTGGGAACCTGCCAGAGCTCGGGGTGGCAGCTAGAACACAAGTGCATGCTGGGGCTGACCCCCAATAAGCTGCCGTGCAGAGGCGCCAGCTGGGCAGCTGCCGTACTCTGGCCATGCAGCTCGGTGCTGGTGGCCTTGAGCACTGTGGAGTGGAGTCCAGTAGACCCCAGAGGCCATGATGCACGGCAGAGACATGAGTTGGGGGTGAGGACTGTCAGGTTTTCCTGCTGGTGGAATGTTCTGGCACGTCATCCCGCTGGTCGGGATTCAGGCCCTGCATTCCCTGCATCTGAAGTCAGGACCCTAAGGTGCCGGACTGGGGAAGGGCAAAGCCTGGCGGCAACGGTGACTTCCCTGGGGCCTGCGGGGCATCGCTGTGGGCACTGATGCCACTGCATTCTGCTGCCAACGTGCTTCAACCAGAGGAGATGTGTGGATCTGTATAAGGAGGTGCATGTGGATCTGTGTGAGGAGGTGCGTGTGGATCTGTGTGAGGAGGTGCGTGTGGATCTGTCTGTGCGTGTGGATCCATGTGAGGAGGTGCGTGTGGATCCGTGTGAGGAGGTGCGTGTGGATCTGTGTGAGGAGGTGCGTGTGGATCTGTCTGTGCGTGTGGATCTGTGTGAGGAAGTGCGTGTGGAGCCGTGTGAGGAGGTGCGCGTGGAGCCGTGTGAGGAGGTGCGTGTGGATCTGTTTGTGCGTGTGGATCTGTGTGAGGAGGTGCATGTGGAGCCGTGTGAGGAGGTACGTGTGGATCCGGGTGAGGAGGTGCGTGTGGATCCGTGTGAGGAAGTGCATGTGGATCCGTGTGAGGAGGTGCGTGTGGAGCCGTGTGAGGAGGTGTGTGTGGATCTGTTTGAGGAGTTGTGTGTGGATCTGTCTGAGGAGGTGCGTGTGGATCTGTCTGAGGAGGTGCGTGTGGAGCTGTCTGTGCGTGTGGAGCTGTCTGAGGTGGTGAGTGTGGAGCCGTCTGTGCGTGTGGAGCCGTCTGTGTGTGTGTGGAGCCGTCTGTGAGTGTGGAGCCGTCTGTGTGTGTGGAGCCATCTGTGTGTGTGTGGAGCCGTCTGTGAGTGTGGAGCCGTCTGTGCGTGTGGAGCCGTCTGTGTGTGCGTGGAGACGTCTGTGTGTGTGGAGCCGTCTGTGTGTGCGTGGAGCCGTCTGTGTGTGCGTGGAGCCGTCTGTGTGTGTGTGGAGCCGTCTGTGCGTGTGGAGCCGTCTGTGAGTTTGGAGCTGTCTAAGGAGGTGAGTGTGGAGCCGTCTGTGCATGTGGAGCCGTCTGAGGAGGTGCGTGTGGAGCCGTCTGTGCGTGTGGAGATGTCTGAGGAGGTGTGTGTGGAGCCGTCTGTGAGTTTGGAGCTGTCTGAGGTGGTGAGTGTGGAGCCGTCTGTGCGTGTGGAGCCGTCTGTGTGTGTGTGGAGCCGTCTGTGAGTGTGGAGCCGTCTGTGTGTGCGTGGAGCCGTCTGTGTGTGTGTGGAGCCGTCTGTGAGTGTGGAGCCGTCTGTGCATGTGGAGCCGTCTGTGTGTGCGTGGAGCCGTCTGTGTGTGTGTGGAGCCGTCTGTGCATGTGGAGCCGTCTGAGGAGGTGCGTGTG